TTTTCATCACGCTCGCTGACCTTATTCTATCACACATCACAGAGGGACACATGAAACTGAGGCGTCTGCCGTGCACACCGTGATTTTATTTCTTTCAAAGCATGTTGCTTTAGAAGAAGAAGCAAAATGGCTGAAGAGTTCAGACTGGAGCGTCTATGTTTAGTTTTTGTCTCTGGGAATTTAGCACTGCCCTCAGAGAGTGTGAATCACACTGGATGTCAAAACATTACGTCTCATATTTGGGTGTGTTGATTTGAATTAATGGCCGCAAGTGAAGGAGATGGGAGTGAAGCCATTTGTCCTCCTTTCTGGGATTTTTATTAATAAGGACCGAACTCTCTCAACGCGGTCAAAGTGAGAGCGACGCAACAGGATGTAGAGAACTTTACGGGGCCATTTCCCACATCAAAGGGACACTGCTTGTTTTTGCCACCGACACGCTCTGACATTATTTCACAGAGTTGTTGACAGCATTACTTCTATCCAGGTCAACTTCCAGACAGTTTTTAATATATCACGTCTGTTTGCTCACAGGCCGACGCTCTCAGAACTACTTTCATTTCCATTAAAGGTAAGCAGCATGTGGCGTAAACATGGTGATATTTTGTCTAACCTGAATGTAGGACAGCGTGGATGAGGGGTGGGAGGCTCCATAAGCATCTATATTCAGTCTGTAGGGAAGTCTGTGTGTCGTACAGTGGCTCCCAAACATTTACACACATGCCAGTGGAAAAAAAAAAATATTGCCAAACAAGGTTTTTCAAACTTGTTTTCTCCTTTAAGGCAACAAACTGCCTGTGGAAATCATGGATTTTTTTAGTAGAAAAACAAAAGAAGCTCCAATGACCTGGTTTCATAGGGTGTACTCCCTTAAATCAATATTTTGCTGAACCACCTTTTTCAAAGATTTTGTGGTATTGTGAAGTGATTCCAGGCACCTGCAGTGACAGGCTTATAGACGCAGACGATGACTACCACCATCTATAGACTCTGCATAAGGGCGCCTACTCCAACGCTGCACCTTGCGCCCTCCCCTGACTCACCTTTTAAAGTATTTTGGTTGGAGGTTTATCACCATATTCTAACTAAATAGGTCATATTTGCCCATCATGTCTTGCTAAATTCCTCAAACCTGTCAAGGCCATACTTTATTTTTCCTGACTTGAATTTGATCTGTGGAGGAAACTAAAGATTAGGGTGATGAAATTAAGTATTCACCTGATATACTTGGACCTCACCAAAAGATAGACTATCCACTGAAACGTGGAAAAGCTTTAGAAACAAAACCTTTATTATACATCTATATTTCTATATTTCAGAAGCTTTAAAGAAACATCAGTCAGAAGGGAGGGATGAAATGTTTTGGGTTTAGAAATGGAGTGGGCACAATGCTCCACTTACTCCATTGTTCAGGTTCCTGTGTGTGTGAGGAATATATGAGGTTGCAGAGTCATAATGCTCTTATTGTGAATATTTTTGACACATTTTTCTAAAAAAAAAATAATAATAATAATCCATCGAGGTCTAGCTTAGTGATCATGTTGTTACAATCAGGTTAGCAGATCTTCCCATGCTAACGATAAAACACTGAAACTTTAAAATGGCCGCCTGTGAAAATGTTGACAGTTAAAAACTACTAGTTCAGCAAGGTTCAAACTTATATGAACATTTTCCTTCTGATTGAGTCACTTTTGAAGAAACTAAGACAGAACGTCCGCCGAGTGCAGGTAAGAAAAATGATAATTTCACAGAACTTCACAATATGAACCTTTCCATTTTAAAGGTGGTAAATTACATCACAACCGTCAAACAAAGCAGCCTTCTAGCTACAAGTTACCTATGATGCAACACCATGACTGATTCCATTATGTTTTAGACTCATTCTGTGTCAAAAGGCACTTCACCTTAATCTCTAAACCTGCTTTCCAGAAGGTAAAATTGCCTTAAATCCGGGTCAATAAGGCCGTTTTCCTTCAGCTGGGCGGCGCAGTGAAACCACGGCTGAACAGGGACATTTGACACACTCCAGTCTGCTGTAACGTGAGCACGCATACTCGCACAAACACACTTACTCACAGGCAAACAGTGAAACCTAAGCACACAAAAACACTTTGTAATTGTAAATCAATAAACAATTACAAAACGACCTGCTGCTTACTGACCTCAAATCCCTCGGCGCGGGCTGCGTCTCCATTTTCTTGTTTGTCGGGGCAGCTGAAACATTGCCGCGATAATGTAGCTGCCGCTTAACACCGACGTCCCTCAGTAAAGGCTTGGAGAATGTAGCAGCTAGAAAAATGCAAGTGTTTCTGTTTGCCACTCGCCTGTTTTATAGGAGAATAATAAAAGTGTGTACCTTGAAAAGAAATTGTGGTTGCTGTTCATGTAAAAATTGATTGGACCCACTGCAAGTCGGTAAAGTATTTAAAGCATTTCATTAAAAAATTGTAAAGCTTTGGAATCAAGTTAAATCACATTAGCTGTATACAGTGCTGTGAACGTTTCATTCCAGTGATGATTAACTTAAAGTTGTTTTTGTTTTTTTTTGGTCAAACTAGACGAATTAGATTTTTATTCTTTTCACATTCAGCTCAAGGGTAAGTGATATTAATGCAACATTCAAAACACTGATACCAAAGATAATAAAGACGAGAGCAACAAAATGGTTTTAAATAGTGATTTTGCCTCTTTCATTTCCTGCTGAAGTTTTGTGAGAGAAAAATAAAAAAAAAAATTAAATGCACAGCAATCAACCTGTAGAGTTAGGTACAGAGAAAAAACACAAACATGTAGACTGCACCTGAATCAACTATTTACCTACAACAGAGGTTTAATTACTATAAAAATAGCTTCAACGTGCCCAAGAAACAGGTAGCAACTCGCAGGCTTGGTGAATAGGACTGCATTTCCATCAGTACAGAGCTTGCTAAGGAATGGCAATGGGAAGGTGTGATTGACAACTCAGGATTTCGCCCTACAGTCAAAAAGGGAAGTGAAGAAACCACCTCTCTTTCAAAGAAAAATATCAAAGAAAACTATCAGGAAGTACTAGGATTGGACTTAAGAGTACTGATGTAAAGATAGTTTCTCAGATAAAGCACCCTTCAGACTGTTTGGGATAAACGACTGGAGAAGAAGAGGTGATTGCTGCCGTGAGTCTTTTTGTGTCACGCTGACACTGAGGCGCCTTGAGACAATGATGTGTGGTTTAGCATCTAGTCGGTGCCTCAAAACATGGTTATGAATAAAGAACAGTCGAAACGCAATTTGGTGATGGACAACGTTTATCCAGATTGATGGAGCACCATGTCAGAAGGCGAAAGGGATAATCACTCAGATAATGTGGCCATCGGCAGAAAACTCCCAAGTTATTCATTCAGTTGAGAACCTATTGACAGCAGCATCACATTGACGTATTTCCAAAAAGAATAAAAACAGTCCAGAGGGTCGTATCACACATCTCTTGGAAAACGTTGCAGATTCCAGCCTGATTCAGAACCCAATGAGCATGAAGGTGCAATCTGAACAATTTCTGAAGGTTCCAGCCACTGAACATTGCTCTACAGAACAACCTATCAGCACATCGTGTCCTATTGAGATACTGCACAATATAACTACTTAACATGTGGACTCATTATCCAACCTCAATAAACGTAACAAATGTGAGTGATGCTGTCTAATGAATCAATGAAGCACCTTCATTTTCAACGTTAGTTAGATGGTTCTGTAACTGCCTGTAATGGTGCAGCTCTGCTCATTATGTTACACTTTATGGCCTTAGGAGGCCATCTGTCATCTTCCTTTTTGGTGATTTGGACATGAGGGTAGAAGGTAGAGGGAGAGTCTGGGTCTCCCAGGGGGCATCCTGACCAGATACCTGAATCCCATTAACAGGTGAACCAGTTTCTTGTAAATTAAATCTTTTACACAACAACAGAAGAGCGAAGTGTTTGTCCTGTTGTAGATGTAGGCTACATTTACACAAGACTGTTGCCTGGAAACTGCCGGTGTTTTCGGATGTTGATTGGGGAAAGTTCCCTGTTTTGAGGGCAATGCAGAGACGCCTTGAATCAGCTGTAGTTGTCATGTCAGACCAGTATACGACGTTATTTTTGCATGATGTCAAATGCGCATTCCCTTAAGCTTTCACCTCATAGTAAATGTTAGAAATCCATCTAACATGAACAAAGTGCTGATGTAACACATTTATTCATCTGACACAGCAGGTTAAGTAGTACAACACAGCACAATGCTATCTGCCATTGTTTTAGCTGTTATTTGTCCGTTCTTGCACAAGATGATCCCTGCAGCAGTGTGTTCTGTGCATGTGAGCTTTCACACCAGCAAAGTACAGAAAGGTTTCACTCAGACTTGGTTTCAAAAGGTTTCCGATGTGAAAGACTCTGGTCACTGGCGTCATGTAAGAAAGCAGAAGAGTCACAACAAAAATGTCACGGTTTAAAGAGTAGGCCGTACAAAACGTGTTCGTTCATATAGAATGCAGCCATTTATAGAAGCATGTTACTAGAGTCCTTAATTATGGATCGATGAATGATGCAACCACTTATTACTTTGGGGCAAGGAGGTTGAGTTTTGCCAAACAGGTGGGTGAGCTGGTCTGGCAGAACCGAGAGCACGTTACCGAGAGACATGCCTAGAGGAAGACACAAGCATCTGGAGATGTGCAGGGGTCAGAGAGTTAACACTTTCAGATTTGAGAAGGTTCTAGCTCCCCTGCAGCTTTATTCGGTGTTCTGATACTCCTACACAAACTGAACCTCTAACCTGGCGCATTTTTTTTTGTTAAGCAATCAATGATTTTAACTGAAATCGAACACAAAGCTGCAAAAATACGAAACATGTATCTGATCAAATGGAAGAGCAAAAAAATAAACACATACAGAAGACAGGACGTTCATCTCTGAGATTTAGAGAAGGACGAGAGCGTTTCAAATTCACATATCTTTATAAGACAGGACAAAATGGAAAAGGAGATCGTCTGATTGTTTGAAGACATTTTCTTAAGAGAGTCACATTAATACAAAGATCTATCATGGAATACCAGTATTTTATATACTGCAGTCGTTATACCACATTTTTATATTCTGTAACATGTGTACATGGTAATATGCCAACTTTGCTTCAAAAAGTGTTCAGTTAGTTCATCCAAGAAGAAGAAGAAGGAAATAAAAAAAGAAAAACATATTAAACAATATATAACTCACCATGAAAGGATTACAATACCCTGCAAATGCTCACGTTCTGTGTCATAATGTCTTTAAGCGTTTATCTTTACCACAAGAGAATACACAAAAACTCAATACTTTGGGTAACTCGATGGATTTGATCCCGCTTGTCATATAAAAAACACATGGAGTAACTGAATGCTCATTAATGCTTTACATAGTCCCAAAGGAGAACGGAGACAAACACAGTGATACTGTGAGAAGTCGTGTCGAGATAAAAAGAAAGGAGTGTAAAGAGATCCACACAGAACTGCTATATATTCAGACACAACATGAAATAGAACAGTTGCCTGAGGTTCGTCGTTCAGATTGAAATCTCCAGGATGTGAAAAAATGAATTCAAAACTAAGCATGTTTCTTTTTAAGCTCAACCTTCAAAATTAATCTCATTTTGATCTCACTGTAGATTTCGTGGGTGTTTCCCCCCCCAGCCTCCTCTTTCAGGAAGAAAACTTTTTATATTACCAGGTTCATTTAAGACAAATTATCAAACTTTATCAACAACAATCAGCCGATTTGGTATCAGTTGATACTTTGTGATATAATAGTAACAGAAGAGGCATCTTTGTCAGATACAGCAGGTGTAAAAATAGTCACCACACATGAATAGCTGATGAAAAATATCTGTATCATAAAAACATGATTCAGTTTCTTTTTCTGGAGAGTAATGTAGCAAGATCTGGATGGTATCACTCAGTAAAGTCTGTTGTTTCAGTTTCAAAGTATTATGCCTATTTGCTTTCTTGCTAAGAAAAGAAAGAGGAATGGCAAAGTGGTGAGTATTTGGTCAAAATGCAGATTTCGCCAGAGATACATAAGCTTAGCAGCACAAAGTCTAAAAACAGGACGCCTACTTTCCAACCAGCCTTGAACAACATTAAAATCCACAAATCGATTTACATGTCAGTGAAACTAATCGGAGCTGATTAACAAAACGGAACAAAGAAAATGATGCTGTTTAGAGTACACCAATAAAATATGGGTTTATCTTCCACCTCGTTTTCCAATACATTTTTGTGAGGTATTCTAAGACGCCTGGGAATTATGTCACATTCAGTCTTACTATTTTCCAGTTTCAAGTCAAAAAACCATTAGAATGTGTTGCAGTCAGTAAACTGAGTATAGCCAGCGTTAGTAATTAAAGATATTAGATAAGAGGCATTGGCAGATAACATTGCTTACCAAGGTTTTGAAAACATACGGCCTCCAAAACGATTAAAGTTCTCGCCGTACTGTTCCTACAGTTTAAATGTATTTTTGCTGAAATGCTAAAAAAACATTCTGGATTGACCAAAGTTTTGGGTCACTCTAAACTCAAAATGGGAACATTCCAGATTTCAGTGCTGCATTGCATTAGCATAGGTTGGTCTAGCTAGCACTGATTCTGAGATCTTGTTCACTCAGACAAAAGGTATTTCTTTAAAACAAGGTTATTCACAGACTGGAAAGTTGTTATGCAGACAGGAAATACTCATACACACCTTTTCATTTCTCTGGAAATAAAAAAAAAAAATCACGATTTTAAATATAAATTTTTTACGTTTGGGGTAAGCTTGAGCAAAGCTCACACTGACTGTACTGGTATTCTATACAGCTTTGGCATTTAGAAAAATTTGATAAATTTTTAAGAAGCTGATGAAACAAAAGTAAGAGTAATGTAATGAAATTTCATTTTCATAATTTCACCCCTACATTAGTTTTTTGTCAAAAGACAAAAAACAATTCAAATACATTTTAAAAAAAAACCCAATCTAAATCTGATTGCAGTAAGAAATCCCAAATTATTTGCAATATTAGTATTAAGCAGTTTCAGAGACTGGTTCTCCCGTTGATTACTTTATGCTAAGCTAACTTGACTGATTTCTGTGTGGAGCCCAAAGATGCATTGTTATGGGCCTCGCAGTAAGAAAGCAAATAGCCATATTTTACAAAACGTCAACCTACTTCTTTACAGATACCAAAACATGAATATGGTCAGAGTTACAGAAATGTTTTCTTTAGCAGTTTCACACCAAAAAGCTTGAAAGTGACAAAGCATGTGTTTGTGTTTCGGGGTTATGGCGTGACAGATTACTTAACTCATTATCCTTGCTTTGAAAAGCAAATGAAGTGGAACGTAAAGGCGAGGCTTCAGCGCCTCCGGTACGTGAACCATGGCTCTGAGTCATCCCGCGCTCTCCACAGTCTGTGCGATGCGTCGTCAGTGGGCCCGTTTGAACTGGATTCACCGTCGTCATGTTCAACAACTCAACCGGCGCTGACGCGGGTAAAAATCCCCAAGAGAAATTCTCCACGGAATCGGGATGAAAACAAGGACCATAGCTCAATGCTTTAGTCATCCGGATCACAGTCAGGAAAAGGAACCAAAGTAAAATCAGGAAAAAATAAGTTAACACAATTCTGACACGTAGAATTTTACAATATGTACATTATTTTTTAAATTAAAATAGATTTTGTCAGTTGTCTGATTGGATAGGTCCTCTACAGAGCACAGCGTTTTCTCCGACCAGCCAGTGTTATTCCACAGTTTCCCTTTGAAAGCTCGGAGCCGGCCAATCAGAGAGCGTGTAAGGCTTCCTCATCTCTAGTCCCTGCCAGTAGTTTGTTGGTGGCGACTTCTTACAGGGGCCAAGCCCTTGGTGACGAAAAATGCCGGACCCTTTAACACCTGGACCGACCTTGAAAAAGAAATAAATATAAAATATATGTAATATTTCTATATATATTCATAAAACCAAACCCAGGATAGATTTTAAATTCTGATGTATTCTCTCCACCGTATCAAGCCGTAGCCGTTTTCCCATTGCCAGCCCGGTTCCCTTTCTCCATGTTTGTGTAATTTTTGCAGTTCTTTTTTTTCCCCGATGGGAAAATTTTTTTTCTTCAAACATGTACATCTTATACGCAAGTAAACAAAATGTAAAAGTGCATGTTTTTTTTCTCCTTTTTTTAAATTTTTTTTATATGTTTTAATCCACTATATCCAAAAGTGTTGCAGGCACTTAAGTCCCTCCCAAACGAAGCAGGTGTTTTCGACAGTGGATCAGGTTGGTTTGGTTATTCCTGGATTTTCATGTGGGAATCTCTTTGTCTCGTTTTTGTCTCTGTCGATGTTTTCCGTCTGTTGGGGAACGGCAGGGTTTGGGGAGGGAGGGAGTGTGGTGAGGGGGGAGCGGCTGCTGCTAGCCTAGGATATCCAGGTAGACTGGGGTGGCTTTTCCCATGGCGAACAGGACCTTCTGGATGTCCTTAATGTTCAGTCGCTGCTGCGGTTCCCTCTGCCAGCAGCCCAGCATGATGTCGTAAACCTCCTTGGGACAGATCCGTGGCCTCTCCAGTACCCGACCCTGGGTTATGCACTCGATAACCTGTAGAGGAGAGAGCGAGAGAAAGAGACAGCAGTGGGGTGAGAGAGGCCGTTGCTTTGCTTCCTTCATGATGAGAAAGTGGTGACACCGGGTGGACCGTCCATTGAGATTTGAGCTAATGAAACAGATATGAAAGAAACAGGATTTCTGTTTGAAATTTTTTTCCCCTGTCCCACGTCATAAAATTCTAATGAACAGAGTCAGTGAAGGTGGATGTGTGAAACCCTGACTGATCAGTTGTTTGCTAGGCTTGTGCAGCAATTAGTCATATGCAGTGGTGGGAAATAAAGTACAAGTGCTTCGTCACTGTACTAACTACAATTTTCATGTATCTGTACTTAAGTAGATTTCATCTGATTAGATTGCATTAAGTAGATGTTGCATCTGCAATGAAAAAAATGCCTGAATTATTGTTTGGAGGTGTTGACTGAGGTGTTGCATATATGGGACAACACTGTGACCAAAGTTTGCTATATAGTGATATGACATTCACTAACGATCCGATTCTTCTGGATGGATCTTTCCTATAAGTATTATAGGACTGAATCCTCACTGAGAGCCGTTCTTTGTTCTTGTGATGCTCTTCGTACACTGCAGTAGCTAATATTATTTTATTTAATTAAAAAATATAGATTTATTTAATTGGTGAATAAATAAAACAAGAATGTAAGAACACAGAGCATGCTCATTGCTCTTTGTTTTCATCTTCTGTCATGGTGGCAGACAGGGTGAGAAACAGTCACAGTGGTTCTTCTGCTTGGTTACTTCTTGCTTGTTGTGCCTTGGACAGTGTTCATAGTTGAGCGTTGTTTACCATCAGTGCATTGCCTTAATTGCTATGTTTAATAGTGCAGACAGTTGTGGTTTCTGACATGGACGATATAGGCAACTGCCCAGGGTGTTATCTTTTTAGGGATGACAGGAGACTGATACTTATACTAGTTTAATTTATTTCAGCTCTAAGTATTTAATATCCAAGTGTTTTTATGGGAATGTGGATCTTTCAGATCAATTTGAGAAGCAGTTTTGATAGGTGCACTTAATTTTATTGTGTCATGTAGTGCGGGGTGATGGTCTTGGTCTTGATTTGGTCTCGGGTTTGGTGGTCTTGACTCCAACTCTGCTACGTGGCTCCTTGGTTGCATGTCCTCCCCAATCCACCTTCTTTCCATCCCCTTTCTGTTGGATTTCTTTTAAAATAAAAGCCACTAGTGGCAATATAGTGAAGTTCATGTTATGTTAGGACAGGAGACCAGATGTTTCCATTCCTGAGATTATAATGCATAGAATCACATGCCTAAGTCTAAACTATGTTACAGAGAGTAAACACAATAAAAACATGCTTTATCTGTGGCATTGCTCATTAAAATGGCACATTTCTGATGTATTAAAATTAAATACGATAGGTACTCTTAATGATATTGTATTAGCAATTAGGTAATGCATTCAGCAAGTACTTTTACTTTTAATACTTAAGTATTTTTAAAAGCCAGTAAACTTTTACTTTTATTCAAGTAAAAATGTTAATGTGGTACTTTTACTTTCACTAGAGTACATTTTTGTCTGTGTATTTGTATTTTTACTTAAGTAAATTTTTTCAGTACTTTCTCTAAAACTGGTCAGATGACTGTTGTCATGACAATTTGACTGTTTGACAATTTGAAGTTACGCGTTAATGGCTTCCAAGGAAAAGCTCATCTTTTCCCTTCAGGGAACTCTCCTGTTTTAGGTCATGTTTTTGTTTTATGTTTTACATCAATAAATGAATTTTATGATCCGACAAAGATAACCTGAGAACAAAAAGCAGTTTTCTAATGAAAATTAAAGTGAAATTTAATTGACTTTGTTAACTCATGAATTAACTTTGATTATAGATTTGGTAGTAAATTTTGGGAACTTGTCCCACTGCAAGATCACGTCAAAAGAACCGGTCAGGCAGCATGAAGTAGGCTAAAAGATCTCAACATGGCGAACAAACACAAGGACAGATGAGAAACAAAAAGTCACTGACATCGATCAGTTTGGGACTCAAGTTCAACACAATGAGAGCCTGTTATCCACGAATAAACATGCAACAGTGGTGAACCCAGGAAGTCTTAAACAAATCCAGATAACAATTGAAAGCTGGCGCCAGTGTTGGCGTTAGAATGAGAAAGCAGCGTCATATTTTGTCACAAATTCACAAAAATAGGGGGAAAACCAGTTGTAAAGTTTAGGAACAATTTGGTTTCAATGAATATATCATTGAATTAAAAAGCTGCATATTTTATTCACTTTGGTTATCTTTGTCCAAAATTGAGATTGTTTAATGATCTGACAAAATGAAAAGCTAAAAACAACTAATCAGGGGGGGAAATGATTAGAAATGCAAAGCTTGGGACGCTTCTGCAAGCTGACTGTAAAATACAAACTTTGAAAAATGTTTCTGATTTACAGTCTAAAACCAAATTTCCTGTAATATTTATGACAGAATTATTCTACTTAAACATACTGTCACACAACATACAATCCGTCTTTTGTCCCGTCGTCTCAATCTGTACGTCGCATTCTTCCACCAACAGCAAAACAGACACGGCAAATAAGGTGGCAGTGGGATGGAGGATCACATAGAGCCTCTTTGCATAAATTCCTCAATGACAACCAGCACAATGAAGCCGCCGTCTCCTGGCAACAGCACCCAGCCACGCAGAGCAGCACCGGCTGAAAATCTGGCTGATTTATCAGCGTTACTGGGAGTCATACTAACTCAGTGACGCTGCGTTTGTTTAGGTTGATTTAGGTCATATTCAGTCCTTACAGTGCTAATTATTTTTGAGAACTTGGTTGCTTTTTTTTATTGGATCCTTTGAACATGTATTGTGGATTTATGAAATGTTATTGAGACTAGTTACTAAAATTACCAACATTGGTTAGACAATAGAAAAGGCAAAGCGAAAACAAAATAGTTTGGACCATTTGAATTTACATAACGTTATCAACCACTGCAGCTGAATTAGAAAGCCGTCATATCTCAGGGAGTTTTTAGAAAAACAAATAAACCTTTAAAGAGGTTACCAACTAATTTTAGCCGTTTGAAACTACATTTCTATGCTTTAACAACAAACTGTTGGTGAGTTTCTCAGCAGAACAACATCGCTGACTGAGGCTGCTGGTCGTCTGCGACTCGTCAGCCATTACTGAAGCCCACTGCGCACCCTGCAATTTAAAAAATCATACTGGACTTGAACATGTCACGGTGCAAGTTCAACGTTACAAAATCAAAACAGCATCTCCCGTCACACTCCGTAATTGATGACTGCAGCAGCAGATTTCTGTCAGGAAGGTCTGACAGAGATACGAGTGCAATAATAAATGCACAGCTGAGTTAATGTGCTTTTAATTGAGAAAACAGTGAGTGGAGGATGGGGGTGTGGGAGGAGAGCAGTGCGGCGGCACACATGGCTGCTTTATATTTATTGCAGGTCGCCTGTGGTCAGGAGAGCACTGAATCAGTCGGTGTGTCTGTCAGACTGACCATCCAGACACCGGCTGTATGGCTGTGTGTGTTTTAGTCACAGATTATACCGCAATCAAATAATTATACTATCTTTATTTGTTGTGAAAAGGCCATTTAGTGAAAAAAACTTAAAAGAATTTGACTTTGCATCTTAGCCAAATCTGACGTCTTAAAAACGTTCTGTCTCTTTAAGCTCTGATAAAAATGTTGATTTTGCATAATACCTCCCCTTTAACCCTTTAAATCTGAACTTCTGGATAGGCGATGGTACATATTTGTGTTTATTCCAAGTCTTGCCATTGTTTCGAGACGATCCCAGTAGATTGATACATAATATCACACAGTAAGCAGACCTTGTTAGGCTGAGAAAATGGCAACAAACTAGATTTTTCATATACAAAAATATAGTTGGCACCTATAGTGATATACATTTTCAGTTTTATTGATCAAAACAGAATAGGCTGCCTTATTTTGGGGGCCAATAGTCTAATATTGATAACTGATTTTCCTGTCCCAAGCCATATGCATAATGTAGAACTTTTTTTGTACCCTTCTCTTGACTGATACCTTTGTAAAATTATATCCTAACAATCCCTGTAACTTCTCTGCAAGCTACAGCTTTAGCAAAAGCTGAACATCATTCAGACTCGCCAGAAATCATGATGAGTTTTAACTGAAAGCTGGAACTGAATCAAAATGTGTTTCAGCAAAGTGGTGAGGGATTCCATGTTTATACCACCAACTTGTCACACTGAGTAGGTTTTATTTTTCTCATAAAAATATGTTTTTCACAGATACTGGGCAGGATACATCCCACTGTATTTGGAGAAAGTCACTTTTGAGAGCTGTTGTGCTGCATGTCAGGCCCACGCTGTCGTCTTGAAGTGTATAACCGTTTTCACCAAAACTGTTATCGGCAAGCAAATCCACGGCCACGCGACATCAGGTGTGACAGACTCTCATGGTGATACTTAATGGTGTGAGAAAATGGTTGTTCTAGCCCGGTAATTTTTTGCATCTCCGATCGATTGGACTCAAAACAAGGGTTTGGAACAATTAATGTGAAAATCAATTTTGCTGTTAATCTGCAGAAAACATGTGCCTGTTGAGTTAGCAGAGAGAACCGGAGCTTCCACAGTAACCCGTTTTATTCACCGTTCTGGAGGAATTCCATCATGAAGGCGAAAAGTGGCCCGTTATCACGGCTCAGAGACTCACAATAGCCACATCAATGGATGATTTGTTGAGCTACAACAGAAATGAATAAGTCTTTGAGGTCTATCTGCCGCACCTATCTGATTGTGTTTCATGCGCTTTCTGTTGTGCAGATGACAACTGCGTGGCACCACGACAGTGAGTAATGATCGGCCAATATCTGCTTTTGTCTGCTCTATTTTTGGATGCAAGTGGGTATTGCGCATACTGTATGTTGACTCAGAAGTACAAAAAAAATACAATAATTTATAGGCTTGGGCAAACACAAGAAGGCTGGCAGATAAAGCTGATGCTAATTTTACTGTGCGGCTCCAGAGAGGAGCCAGCCTGCTCACAGGAGAGACGGCCGTGTTTGGTACAGGTTCCCGTGGTACCCAGGTAATAATCTATCACTTCGACTCCAGCCACTCAGGCCCATTAATAATTGTTGTAGTAATGTGTCTTTGTGCAACCTAAGGAATTGAAGCACTCCTCTGCTTGGAGCCGTACAGGTTAGACTGGGGAGCATCGTCAACCATAACCCATGGTGTTCCCCAGGGCTGCGTTCTCTCCCCACTGCTCCTCTCACTGTACGCAAATGACTGTCAGTCTGATCCAAGATGGTGTCTGCTCTGCTTACAGACAGGAAGTGGACCTGCTGGAGCGTTGGTGTGGTCAGAACTCACTCAAGACTGTGGAGATGACATTGGACTTCATCCTCAGGATATTAGCTGTGATTCCATTACAAATGTGCACAAATCTTTGTCTATATTCTGCTTGTGTAAAAAAAGCACATTTTTTTACAAATTTTTTTGCAATGGTGGCGTTTCCACTAAAGGAGAAATGAAACTAAAATCATACGTGAATAAACTTGTTCACGCGACAAGTCGTAAAAGTCATGGCAGCGACAGATGTCACCAGCTGCATGAAATATATTCATAATTCATCCATGGAGCTAGCGCTCATAATCTACCAGCTATTAGAGGAGACATCTGCGTTTTATTCAGGCGTTGGAGCGACGGATCTCTTATACTACGTATGCACTGACACTGCAGTAAGTAGGCCTAGCAGAAACTGAACGTCCTACGGCAACTCAAGTAGCACAGTATACCAAAGGCGTCCTGTTCATCTTCTACACAGTCATTATCCAGACAGGGCAGGACCAGGCAGCTTTGAATAATTAGGTCTGCCAACAGGAACATCTGGGCTGACATTTCCTCCATCCAGGACCTGTACAAGTCCAGGGTCAGGAAAAGGGCAGCTAACATCTCTGCAGACCACACACACCCTGGACAGAAACTATTCAGGCTTTTACCGTCATGTCGACGTGAAAACTAGTTGCCACAGAGACAGTTTCCTCTCCCAGGATGCCTCTCTGATGAACACAATGAACACTTTAGAGTCTGAGAAGTCAGCTACTCTGCTGTGAAACAGATAGTTGCTGTATTGTAACCAAAACTTTTTTCAAAGTATATGTACATAGTGTTCTTTCAGAGGTCTTTAATCTCCTTGAAAGTTTATATATTTATATTTAATGTCTGTTTGCTCTGAGCATCTGAAACTAAAATTAAATTCCTTCTTTATGCACATAAGCTTGGCCAATATATGTTTTTGTTTTCTTTTTTTCTTCTCTTGCTCTTTCCTTTGGTTTGTTGTTTTTCCTTCTAATTCATGTAAAGCACTTTGAACTACCTCGTTGCTGAAAATGTGCTATATAAATAAAATGACCTTACATGACCTTAATGCTGATGGTTCTGTCTGGTTCAAAGTTTTTATTTCCTGCTATAAAATGTAGAAATGCCAGTTTGTGTCAAGCTACTTTTACAGTTTGTGCGGCCTACTATTTTGGTCTAGTTTACTTAGCAACATGCTTGCTTTGCTAAAGTAATCCTAATAGAAATGCATTGACTGGTCAAACAAGCTTCACAGAAAGAAGCTAATAATGGGTGCTATGTGAAATGCCCGTCTGCCGGAGAAATGTCCTCATTTATCGATGTGAAGAATCTCACAGAGAATAAAGAGGCGACATAGGGCTGTCAGATCAGGATTCAAGATAAAACTTGTATTTGCATTTGCTATTGGTAAGCTAGAGGTTGACTTATGCTCAAGTACAGACATCTGTTTCTAATTCCTAAAGCTTTATGTAGTAAATAAACATCTATAGTCTAAACTGTAAAAGCCTGATCTACCGAGATTCCAAATAAGGAGTTGTAAATAACATGAGCAAAAACATAAATAAAAAATTTAATGCACAAGAAGTGGGTATGTTGCCGTCAATCTACAAAGATGTATTATTGATATTATTACACAAGTGCAATTGATTACAGGTGCGAAAGTAGTGCACACTGCCCTTTTTAAAGGAGGATTTTACATGTGCAGTTGGGTATCATCAACATCATCATCATCATCAAGAGTGTTGGAGAGCAGAGTGCTCATAAAAGAAAGATGGCATAAGAAGCCATCGTGCTAAACTAATAGTAATAATGAAACTACATTTCATTTAAATAAGTATACAATGTAGTACAACAAGACGGTAAAAACATTAAAAGATCAATCAAAACAAAGCTCTAAACCATTGTATTTAACTCAACTTGTTGTAACTACCCTTTACAAACCATTGGTCCTCTAACCGTCCAGCCAGCAAATCGTCTCTGCAACAAATCATGGAAATATCTCCGATATAACAAGATAATAGTTCTAAGTCGGCTGAAACAGTAAGTGGTAAGAAATGGCCTGTTCTCGTAAAGCAATTTATCAAGACCAGAGGACTCCGCGGCACTTTACACTACATATTCAGTTATTCATGGACACATTCCCATGCTGATGGTGGTAAGCTACTACAATGTAGTCACAGCTGGGGAGTCTGACAGAAGTGCAGCTGCCACACACTGCTACTAAAAGACAATGTGGATGAAGAGTTTCGCCCGAGGACAGGAGGCCTCAGACAGACGCAGTGGAGGCTCGTCCTGATTCAATGCTAAAGGACAAATTCCTACCATTGCTTCCCCTTAAATGAGTAATGCTCCCCCTTTAAAAAAAATCTATTTAGATCCATTACAAGGATAGGTGTTTGTCTACCTTCCAGTCACTCTGCACTACACTGTCAATTAAAAGACAACTTTAAACACGACATTCAAAAACATCCGTCTTCCTTCTCTCCAAACCTACCGACATGCTAAGGACTAGTCATAGTAGAACCAACGATAGACCGGCTGGAACCAAAATGTTCAATAATTGTGTGAGAACGGATGAGTCGTACCTGTCTTTGTTTGAATCTGACATTATAATTAACAAGCTCTCATGGTAATTTCAAAGATTTAAAACACCAAATAGATTGAGTGAGATGTTTCATCTTCCCCTGTAGTTTGTGACTTTGCCACCCTGTCATCCATTATAACGCTCTTGATTTGGAACCCCGTTGTTCCTGACCACATCCATCCATCCAGCACACTGTGTGTAGCCTGCTGTGTCTCGTGGATGTTCATTGACATGCTGCCGGCTCTCTGTACCTCATTGTTACCCAGCTGAAACCAAGGCTGCTTCCCATAGGTAAAGATCTCCCAAAGGATGACCCCAAAGCTCCAGACGTCACTTTCCGTAGAGAACTTCCTGTACATGATGCTCTCTGGGGGCATCCAGCGGATAGGTAGCATGGTGTGTCCTCCAACCTGAGCAGACAAGAAAACAAAGGCAGAGAGGGAGAGAGATTAGTACTGCATACTGAAATGTCGTTTCTAAAAAATACAGCTCGTCATATTTATAAGGCATCATTTAAGGATTGGCCGCCTGCCTGTAAATGCAACTGATCTGTAGGCTGTAATTACGACTCTTTCCCATGTTGCTGGGGTATTGACAGTGACACAAAGCAAGAAAACAGCGACCTGTCTGCCTGGTCTTCTCTATGCATTGGATCTCTGCATGGAGCATTTGCAGGTAGGGCATTAAATCCCCTCTACTTTGACGCAGGGGTGATTTCAAGGCTAGCCTTGAAATCTGATTGATCATCCTTCCTGAACGCCCTCAATAATTACACCACCAGGGATTTTGTAAAAAATAACCAAATGTCTAAGTAGTTACTAACATGTTTTTTCCCCACTTGATGAATTCAAATTAAACACTTGCTGGCTATCATTTTTAGGATAAACACTATATGACTGCAAAAAAAAAAAGACGAAAAAAAGGCTGAATTTATCTTGAGGCGTTTTTGAAAAGCTCTGCTCGGCTGCAGGTAAATATGGTAGGCACTGTATATGGCAGTGGGAATTCAATATCTGCTCTACTTGTTGCCTGGATTTTGAATTCCTTTCACTTCCTGCTGTCTTTCATGTTTTGCTGTGGTTTAGTTTTTCACCTCTGCTGCTGTTCCTTTGACAGTTTTGTCAATAGAAAAATAAAAAAAAAGATGATTTTGAAGCCCACTTTTGGGGCTTTTCTTATCTACAAGGCAGCAAACATACTCCTGCAGTGTATCAGATACACACCTATCATCCACCCATCATCAAAACCACCCACCCATCAATCCACTCGCTGATCCGCCAAGCACCGGCCTGCCCAAACAAACATCTGTGCTAATTTTCTGCGCTGAGATAACATCAAGATGAAAGCTACAGTCAGAATCGAGGCCGAAAAACATACGTGCCTCCGTCAGGTGAGGGTAAATAAACTTGCCTCTTATGTGCACCTCTGGGTTAGAACACAATCAGATTCATTTAATCATAACAAGCTCCTCTCTCAACTCCATTTACCAGCTATGACATCTGTGTGCCATCAGCTGCGAGTGCAGCGTGGCTTTTTAGGAGCCAGGGGAGAATAAGAAAGTCAACTCGAGTGTTTTTAATTACCTCCCAGTTCTGTGGCACACTCATTGCAGATTTCCTTTGAATGTCATATCTGTGTCAGCTGGATGTCGCAGCCGACTCCAGTGGATGTTTCTAAAGTAAAACTGTCGAGCTGCCAAAAGGCTGATTATTTCTTGGCGTTTATTTACAGCATCTTCTAGTTTCTACACTTCATTAAATTTCGTTCCTTGGTTTTAGGCTTGTTTGTTCTCCTTCATTTGTTACTCTCTCTGAAGTTGGGCTTTTAGAAGCAAAATTTTGTTTTTGATTCTACTAGTGAGTGTACATGTTGGCCCTGCCTTACTACTAACCATTGGCAGATTTCAAACTGTTTCACAACATGAACTTGCACCGAAGTGGATGCTTTCTCTCAACTACATCGCTTGTAAAGCGTTTCAAAATGTTTGCTGCCAAAATGTCACTTTGAAAACCACACACATTTCATTCAGGAAACCACAGTAGCAACATTTTTTCAATTTGAACAATATGAAGTGTAGAAAAAGCCATAGCACATTCCCTGTGTTGCCTTTAAACACCGCGCGCTATCAGACAGCAACGAGGTACACCTTTTGTCAGATTACAACCACAAACCTCAGTGTGTTTTAGTGCAATTTTAAGTGACAGAGAAAGTAGTGCATCATATTGAACTGGAGGCAAATGAGACATTTTTTTTCTTTACTTTTCACAGATATTCTAAACAATCTGGTGTGGATTTGTACTCATTTATTCGAGTCACAACCTGGAACAACCTTTCGCTTCATTTACAGCTGCAAGTCTTAGTGGATGTATCCATCTGTATTGATTTTCTTTTTTTGTTGCAAAAATCACTTTTGGCAAAAAAAAAAAAAAAGATTGAGGGCGTAATTTTAGGAAGATCACGATATGTGGAAATTGAAATGTCTGCCCATTAGCCTTTGCAAAAAAGCTCAAACTCAGATTGGATGGAGAGATGCTCAAGTCTTCACACAAATCCTTTAAACAGTCCAAACATCTGAAGATGAAAACAAATTTTTAAAAAAAGAAAGATCAGTTTGTTTAATTTGTGGCAAAATCCAGAACAACGCACAATAAAGGTATTATTGAAGCACAAATTTCATCTTTGAAATTTTCTTGAAAGTAAGAATAAAATCTCCCGTCTTGTTCTTGTGAAATCGGTATCTTGTTTCGTCTTGTGGGTTTTAGGTATCGTTTCATCCCAATCGGCCAGTCAGACTGAGTGCAAAATTATGTCTTGGGAATTATAGAGTCCACAGAAGTGATTGTGAAGGAACAAAATGTGAAAAAGTTCAAGTGGTGGGAATATTTTAGCAAAGCACTGAAGTTTTCTTAAAAGTGAAACTACCCTGACTTCTATCAGTACTTCTTGATCCTGTTTGTCATTGTAGGGTTCCACAAACAAGATGTTACTCTACATCACAGTCAAATCTCTGAAGGTAAGCACCACTCATGGAAACGTTAAAGAGACATTAGTTTCAGTGTCACCCCAATACAGTAATGCCCTCAGCTCGGAGCTAAAAAGTATCATTAGAGAAGGACACAGAGTCACTAGTTGGTTGAATTTTGTATCTTTTTTGGCCCTTGTAACTCCTCAATGTAGCAGCTTTTCTCAAATGCCTTGGACAAGTCGATACCCAGTGTGTACTGCTTCCCATGCAATGATATCCCAGTCGCTGTGTGCTGTCCTTCCATTTACCACAAATCAATATGTGTACAGAGGGCCTGCAGGGGAACAAGACCGTTAGAAACTGTTTCGTACACCAACACATATATGCTGACCGAAAGCCAAAATCACAGCCCATTAACCTCCACAAAGTCAGACTTCTGAACTTGCTGGTGTTTCAGCAAAACAAATGCAAAGCATCATTTCTCTTCAATTCATCCCAAACTGAAAACACATCGAACAAGGCCTCTTAAGCATCAGCAACGACAAAGAAAACCATTTCAAAACAGCTGTAGTGTCACTGTCTCTTCCCTTTCTATATATACTGGTGTTGGTGTAAACATCAGGAAATGAAATGCAACGTCAAGTCCTGTCACTCGCTTTGAAACAAGTGCATTGCTTCTGCAGCACCTTTTGGTTGTATAATGTGTGTATACTAGGATGAAGTGTGTGAGATTCACAACCTTCCACTGGATCAGGGTAGGGTACATTGGTCTTGGGGTAATAACAGCCTCTTATTTTATTGCCTTAATCATATTTTAAGATGAACTGACTTGTCTGTTTGAGCCCCTTCGGTCATTCAGCATGCCGACGTGAGTAAATCATCATCAACAAAGACAGAGCAACTGCACGGCATCAATTCTATAGCAATAACACACATATGCATGTCTGAAAGGGTGAAAAGCTCTTTACCTAAAACCACTAATCTGTTGGCAACCAAAGATAACATGCAAAAAAATGATGGAGATATAACATTTAATACATATATAAATATGTTGGAAGTTTGGTGTTTAAGTGTTCAGTCTAATTACTGTATGAATTGATTCAAACCAGTCCACTTTTCTTTCAACAACTGAAACAACTGCTAACATGTCCATTTCAAGGGTAAAAATAACACGTAAAGGGGTGAAGTAGATGATAATTATTTAAAATAAATGCCTGAACTTGGTCATTTTATACTAAAATAACATGGTTCATATCATCTACACTTTTGCTGTTCTACTGCTAGCACAAGAGTTAAAGATTGATGCCTGAGCTATGATGAAAATCCTTTTGAAAATTAAATACGATTTTGGGATGTAAACAAATCTAAGTAGCTTGCGGGTATAACTATAAAGTAACAAACTTCAGAGTTACCTTTTTTCAGGTATTAGTCAAACTGCACCAATACAATGTATTTTTTTCCTCAACCAGTTTCTTTAAGTCCCACTGACAGGTTAGTTATGGTCTTTTGTTTTAAGACAACTAAATACTGGTTTGGTGAGGAAAAATGAAATGTAAGAAGCAAGAAATGCTAACAACAAAAAATTCATGAGACCCAAAGTCTCATGGGTTACAACCGTGTTCTCTATGTCCAAGTTTAGACCTAAACATCGATAAATATGCTTCAAGATACAGGAAGTCTGGTTAGAAGTTGTGTGTTTTTTTCTTTTGTTGTTTTGGAGCATAGAAAATGCAGAAAGTGGAGCGACTCAGCTAGAAAATTGAAAAGCCCATTGCCAAGTAAAAAAAGGATGGTAAACAAGAAAACATGAAAATAATTTCAAAGATGTAATATTTTACAATAAAAAGGTCTACAGCTGCTTCCAGTATTGTGAGAAGGTGAAACTTTCTCAGTTAAAGGCTCAGTTTTTAGGTGAAGAGAAGCTTTTTTTCCCTGCCAAATTGTCTTTCTGTTTATTGCACATAGACCTCCAGCTCTGAGAACAGTGAGTAGAAACTGTTTTTTCCCCGTCATATGTCAGGAGATTAATTCAGCCTAGTCCTCCAAGGCTTTTAAACTGCTGTGAAAATGCAGAAAAATCATAGTCTGGAGGAGCCTTGTAGTTCACAGCAAAGCTCCTGGGACCAGCTCTGTAATTCGGATTAAATTCCAGCTTGTGTTTAAGTGTGTCACAGGAAGCAAAAAGCTAATCTGATAACCTCAGAAAAGGCTGTAAAATGAAATAAATTGTTTTTCTCCCAAGAGCAAAGCCACCAGAACCCCAAGGTAAGTTGTAAAGAAGTCTAATGTTCAAGTTCATGAAAATACTGAACAACAATGGCACTGAACACCAAACTTGCGAGGAGAAAACTACTGCTTCTATTAGAAAACATAAATGCAGTCAGGCTGTCAATAAGAACAAGAAGTTAGTAGACTATTAACTTAAGATGAGCCAAAATGATGAAT